AATCTGCCATAAAGATCATCTGTGAACATAAGGAACGATTGCGCGGCTTCGTATCGATCTCAATGAAAATCATGCGCGGCAGGTTAAATTTACAGTATATATATATATATATATATATATAAATTTTTCAAGAATAACCATCGATTTTATAATATTCTCGAGATACCGTCGGAAATATAATATCACATCAAAGATTTTGTATCTTAGCAATCTCGTAATCCAATCGCATTTTTCTCACGAGAACGCAAAAATACATACATATTATACATATTTCCGGCTGAGCTTATTAAATTTTGAATAACATCAACTTTATATCGATTCACGAGAATGCGAAGTGATCTCAAAAGCTATCCTGGTAAGAATAAAATTTCTAAAAATCTCTGGTTGCTCTTACAGTTATCTCACCTTTCATCGTCCTTATTTGCTTTTCAGCGAAAACTCTATTCATCGTTCAGTAACTCATAATCTCTATTGTCGTGATTTATATTCAACCATCGATGCGGTTTGCTTCTTTGTTAAATTTTATATGACTCTCATTTATTGTCGAATGCTACTATTTGCAAAGTTTGTGGAAGAGTAATTTATACATTCAGATTAGTGAAAAGAAATCAAAATATATATTTGAAAATATGAAACATTCTCATGAGCGCTTAATCTTTTTTTCGTTATTTAGCAATATTTTGAATACAAAAGAAAAGAGTCAATTGAATTTTTGATAAAATTCATTTCCCGAACGATACATATAATACATACATATACTGGAAGAAAAATACAGTATAGAGAAAAGCTCCCTATTATGAGATAGGCGTCTAATATGAAATAGCAGCGTTTCCGCTGAACTAATAAACGCTATCTATCTTGGTTCCACTGAAATTATTGTATACATGAATTTATTGTTCTTAGATTGGAAACTATTTAGTGGAAAATTCATTATTAGATCATGCCTGTAATCGTTGCAAAAAAGATTTTCGAATTTGAATGTCCTTAAGTTTCGTTGAGATGAGCTTTTAAACCTTTTGTTTATTATTTAATAAGTAAATATTTGGCAATAAATTCTTCATGTAAGATCATATTAATAGAAAAACACGTGAATGTTGAATTGCTTAATTATAGAAGTTAGATTTGATGATCGTAAAACCGTAAGGCGTGAAAATCATAATATGAGATACCTCGATGTATTTCTAATATGAAATAATGCTTCTATATGCTTCTATATGTCATAGTGAAAATCGTTGCTGAAGTATAAATGTTATTGTATAATAATAAAAAAAAATAATCGAAATAAACATTGAGTACCTGTTTCTGCGATGCTTGGTTCCAACTACCTGAAGACGAATCAGCTAAGTGCAATGCATCGCATACTCATTTTGCACGTGCACTGTGTTTATTTATATTTTAGAAACATTAAATCAAGTTTTTTAATTACATTATATTGATGTATTTTGCGTTTTATTATTGATTTCTTGAGACATCTTATATTAGGAAACACCATTTTTTGACTTTGCGATTTGCTCATTTTTTACATTTCTTTAATTTATAAAAAAAAAATAAAATTTGAATTAAATTTTATACAACATTATCTTAAAGCTTATTAAATTCCCTTCAAAATGACCTATTATTTTTTTTAATTCTGCCCATAAATTTCTAACATTTATCCAAAATAAACTCGGTAATAGGGGCCTTTCCTCTATTGATGAGTAAAATTGCACTAGGATATAGGAAATGAATTTTCCAGAAAGTCAGATTATTTATTGCTTGGACCGAAGCCGGATGTTTTGCAAACAGCGATTAAAGGTTTTCGAGGGAAATGCATTTAGATGCAAAAACGTGTACACAAGACTAGAGAATTGGAGCATGACGCGGACATACAATATATAGAGAGGATTTAAAGAGCGAATCGTTCTCTCTCGTTACATATTGAGATCCATAAAGTTGGTAGGGTTTAAATCAACAGTGTCAACGATGGCTTGGCTCAAAATGGCATATTCCAAATTTATCTCAGATGAATGTAGAAACTAAAACAACGTTTCCTCAAAGTAATTTATAGCTTCTCGTTTTAGCCTTATAAATAGCTCATTAGCTAATTACTCTTTATTTCGTACAATGACGTGCATATGCTTCTATAAAAACACACACACACACACACACACACATTTCGCTAACTATAAAAAATAGTCCGAATAATTATTTAGGACAAGTCTGTCGAAATTGAACTTCGGAGGCAAAATGCAAAGCCATTGAAGCAAAAAAATTCAATGTGAGATTTCGGGGATTGTAAAGTGTTGATACGCATCTGAGTGATATCAATACTTTATAATTCTTGAAATCTTATTCACCTTTTTTTTTTATGACTTTGCGTTTTGGCATCGGAACTTAAATTGGACAAGCTTGATTTAAAAAGATTTAGGGCTCTTGAATAAACAGAATAATTTATATGTCTGTATATTTGCAATGACAATTTCTGCTTCCACGAAGTGGAAGTGTCTCAGTTTTTGTAAGCCCTTCTTTTTTATATTAGATACAATGGCCTCGATAGCAAGATTTGTAACGATCCTAGGTCGCAGATATCACCCTCTTGTGGTGTGCTTAATTAAGAAATACTGTAAAGGTATTAGGCCGTTGCCGGAACCACCGAATTCAAATGGATGGTTTCCGCGACTAGGGTCGTTAGAGTGTTATCACGCACCGTTAACAACCTAGATTAGCGATTGTATCGTCCCTCGAAGTTTCAGCGCACGTTCTTATGGGAATGCGTTGCAAGTAATTTACGATAAGTAGGCAGTGTGTTTGCGCACGTACGCCTCGTGGACGTCTTTTAATGGCGGTAAATTACACGATGGTAAATATTTGTCGGAGAACTCAGCGGTGGCGGTAACGGCGCCGTACGTTTCTCCAGCGCATCAATATTGAACGATTAATTATTTATATTATGCATGTATCATATATAATTAATTAAGCAAATATTGGCACGAGATGCAATCGAAAATAATGCAACAATTATCGAATAATTATGCGAGATGGCGAAACTGTAAAGCCGCAGAAAGTTCTAATTGCAACCGTTTAGCGAAATGTTGTGAAAATGATCGTACAAATAGTGTTGATTAGGTTGA